TGTGTGTAGCATTTTGTCCTGTGAGACAAGCTCATTAACCATCACGTAGCTAAGAATTACATAATGATTACCGAACGTCGGTTTGTAATTTAGCTTACGATACGCGCTGTGGTATGCGTCCAACATGCTGTCCGCAATTTACTTTTAACTAGTATATATCGAATATCTTTCTGAATCGAGTGTTTAGTTAACTTTTTTTTTGGCATGGTTTGTTTTGTTTTACGGCATATGAGCCTCAATGGGTTATTTAATGTCGACAAGATGGTAATATTTTTTACAAAAATGTATTGCTGCTAATTTTTTTTTCAAAAATGTATTGCTGCTACTTTTTTTTCAAAAATGTATTGCTGCTATTTTTTTCTTACAAAAATGTATTGCTGGTATTATTTTTTTTACAAAAATGTATTGCTGGTATTTTTTTTACAAAAATGTATTGCTGGTATTTTTTTTTCAAAAATGTATTGCTGGTATTTTTTTCTTCAAAAATGTATTGCTCGTAATGATGTTTGATGGTAATAATTTTTCTTAAAAAATATTTTTGGTAATATTTTTTTTTACAAAGTATTTCTGGTATTAAAACATATTTTTACACTTTCATAGTGTTTTGATACCAGTTTGAGCGTTAACTATTTACTCATACCTGGGGTCCTAACAGGTGCAACCACACCGGGTCAGAGTGGGTCTAGGAACACCAGTAATGTAGAGGTTGTTGCAGGCTCCTCAAAACCTTCTTATCAGAGATCTTGTTGTTGGACGTAGTTTATCGTCTTACGCAGAATGTGTTTGTAGTTTATCGACGGTTCCTTATTTTTTGGGCCGATATATAATTATTTTCACCTTTCTCAAGGACCTCTTTTCTCATTTCCGATATTATTTTGCAAAAAGATGCATCGTGGTATTGAACTATGCAGAAGGTTCAATATTCCAATCGATTTAATGTAGCCATCCCTGATTCTAGTTCAGATGCTACAGAAACCTAAGGCTCTCAAGGTTCTGGAAGTTAAAATTTCCAGAAACTTAAGAAGTAAAATTCACCTCCAAGTTGGGGGGGGGGAGAAAAGCTGTTCTCCTGCAAGACAACTACTAATTTATTGAAAGGTATTGCTGAAAAGTCCACAGAAAGCTGAAGTTAGAAAGCTTACGCGTGACCGATACTCCGCTGCATTTTTATGTGATTGCCTACAAAAGATGCAAAACGTGCAGCAAAAAAAACAAACAAAAAAAAACAAAACAAAAAACAAAGAGAGCGGATACAGTAGAAAGTGTAAACAAAAAGAGAAATGATAGGATGAGAAAATTAAAAAAAGAGAACATGCTGGAAAGAGAAAAGCCGAAGTGAAATAGAAAAGAAAAAAAAAGAGACAGAAAAAGAAAAGACAAATAGAAATAGGAAAGCAAGACGCTGGAAGAGAGTACCACATCTAAGAAATATGAGAGAAGAAACTGTTAACGTAGAACTTACGGTTACATCTATCCATTCCAACTCTAAATTGATGAGACCTTGCTCCATGTCTTGTACTACGCTTAATTGTATTTAATATCCCACCAACGAGCAATATATGTGGCACAGGCCGAGTTTAATGTGGGTTTTCCGAGCCCGCAGGATCAGCCAAAAATATAGCCTTTGAACCCGCCTAGACAGGTTCAGGCCCTGTCTACCTCCCCGGACGAAACCTTGCCCTTCGGCAAAGCTTCGTCCAGGTTCCTCTCTGCCAAAGCAGAGAGTTCAACAGTCATGAACTAGTGCTGGTTACACCGTTCATTAAATCAATACAAAATATAGTACTGCACTTAATAATAGCTCAAATTCTCTAACTAATTTCTATATGTACAATTTCATAGAATCTAGGTACCAATATTTATTTCGAAAAATACACAAATGTGGCACAAGGCTAAAAGTTGGGGAAATAGGAAGGCTGGTCTTCGCTCTGTGTTATCTTAAAATTAGCTACCCAAGATTACTGACTAGTTTACAAAATTCTATCTCCACTTATTCTTCCCCTAAACACCTTTTATATTTTTATTCCCATATCTGCTCTTTTAGAACAAGGCCAAAAGGGAGCATCAGGAAGGCTGGGCTTCAATCTGTGTTATCTTAAACTTAGCCAGACACTATTATTGGCTTTAATTTACGAGATGCTATCCCCCTTAATCTTTCTCTATCCCATTATATATTTTTT